CAGGGATGTGACCTTAGTAAGGGTGTTAACAATCCCATCCTAATCCTCTTTAACATAAAATGACAATCACAAAATGGAGGACAACCACACGATACTGGGAATCATGGCCTAGCCAAATTGATACACACATTTTTTGGGGGATATAATTCAACCCATGACAGCAGCTGAACATTGTCTGATATGGTGCCGGAAGAGGAGCCCCTCAGGTTGGAAGGCACTCAAAACACAATTGGGGAAGAGCTGCCTCCTCAAAATAGAGTCGACCTTAATGACATGGATGGAGTCAAGCTTTCAGGACCTTCAATTGCTGATGTGGCACCACTCAAAATGAGAAAAAACAGATGCAAACATTCATTAATAATCAGAACATGGAATGTATGAAGTATGAATCTAGGAAAATTGGAAGTTATCAAAAATGAAATGGAATGCCTGAAGACGATATCCTAGTGATATCTCATTGATGAGCATCAGGGTTGCATCCTTTTACCATACTTATTCAATCTGTATGCTGAGCAAATAATCTGAGAAGCTGGACCATATGAAGAAGAACGCAGCATCAGGATTAGAGAAAGACTCATTAACAACCTATGATATGCAGATGACACAACCTTGCTTACTGAAAGCCAAGAGGACTTGAAGCGCCTACTGAAGAAGATCAAAGACCACAGCCTTCAGTATGGATTTCACCTCAACATTAGAAAACAAAAATCGTCATGACTGGACCAGTTAGCAACATCATGATAAATGGAGAAAAGGTTGCAGTTGTCAAGGATTTCATTTTACTTGGATCCACAATCAACGCCCATGGAAGCAGCAGTCAAGAAATCAAACGACGTATTGCATTGAGCATATCTGTTGCGAAAGACCTCTTTACAGTGTTAAAAAGCAAAGATGTCACTTTGAGGGCTAAGGTACACCTGACCAAGCCATGGTGTTTTCAATTGCCTCAAATGCATGCGAAAGTTAGACAATGAGAAGAATTGATGACTTTGAATTATGGTGTTGGCAAAAAATATTGAATATACCATGGACTGCCAGAAGAACAGACAAATCTGTCTTGGAAGAAGCACAGCCAGAATGCTCCTTGGAAGCAAGGATGGTGAGACTTGTCTCATGTCCTTTGCACATGTTATCAGGAGGGACCAGTCCCTGGAGAAGGACATCATGCTAGGTAAAGCAGAGGGTCAGTGAAAAAGAGAAAGACGCTCAATGAGATGGATTGACACAGTGGCTACAACAATGGGCTCAAACACAGCAATGACTGCGAGGATAGTGCGGACCGGGCAGTGTTTAGTTCTGTTGTACAAAGTGTCGCTTTGAGCTGTAACCGACTCAACGGCACCTAACAACAATTAAGTAACTTGGGCTCTTAACCCTAAGGATAAGCCATCTAGACTGCTGATGGGAAAAATCAGCAGCCTCCCGGCAGGCAAATCATTTACAAAGAAGATCTCTTTCAAGGCCAATTTTTCATACATAGACAAGACTGAGGAAAGTTCTCAGACAAACAGCAGACAGGATGGTGGACAGGCAGAAGACAGAAGATGGTGTTAAAGGCCAAATTTCACCAAAGGAAACAAAGTCTGACTTTAGTTGACTACCCATTCCCAATCTTTGTGTTTTTTTAACTTATTACGGATATTGTCAAACACACAGAGAAGCAGAGAAAGAAAAGAGTATAATTAATCCCCATAACCATAATCAGCCTCAACAATTATCAACATTCTGCCAATCTGTTTTCATAAACCTCCCCCAACCTTTTCCTTTTCTGCAATATTTTAAAAGAAATCCCAGGCACACCATTTCACATGGAAATACGTGTAAGTCAATCTTAACCCTAAGGAAGTTAATGCGATGTAAATAGAACTGCAGTATATAGATGAAGGCATGTACTTGTCCCATTCATTCATTACAGCCAGATAGCCAGGCACTATGCTAGGTGCTGGGGATAATAGAACAAGATAACTACATGAGGGCAGGAAACGAATATTTCATTCTAGTGTGGAAGATAGAAAATTCATAGATTAAGTGAATGAAAAATACAATAATTATTGCTCCTAAGTGATGATGATGATAATAATAGTGAACATTTATTGATGGATTACTATTTTTAGCCCTTTGAAATCATTAACTCGTTTATTCTTCACAATCATCCTCAAAGGTAAATACTTTTATTATTGTTGTGTGCCGACCATTCGATTCCAACTCACAGCGACCCTATGGGACAGAGTAGAATTGCCCCGTTGAGTTTCCAAGGCTGTAATCTTTATGAAAGCCGACTGCCACATCTTTCTCCCGTGGAGTAGCTGGCGGATTCAAATCATCAACCTTTAGGTTAGTGGCTGAGTGCTTTAACTACCGCACCACTGGATGAGAAAACAGAGACCCAGAGAAATGAAGTAACTTGCTGAAGAAAGTTCATATAGTAAGTGGTAGAGCCAGGATTTGAATCCAAGTGGTGTGTATTCAGAGGTTGTGCTCTAAGGTTAAAAAAAAAGAGAGAGAGAGAGACTAATTTTATAGCAAGAAGGACCTGACGACCTACTTCTAAAAAAATTGGCTACTGGAAACCTTATGAATAGCAGCGGAACGATGTGTGATTGCAACGATTGAGAGGCTGGCGCAAGACAGGACAGTACATAGGGTCGCTATAGTTGGAACTGACTCGACAGCACCTAACAATAACAACTTTAATATCGTAAAGACCATGCTATTTGTTCACCAAATCGTTTCATTTTCTTCCTAAGCACACAGGAGGTGCCAGCTCTCTAGACTTTAAAGGGGCCATGTGACTAATTCTGGCTTATGAAACGTGGGTGGACATTAAAAACAAAAAGTCACAGTTGAAATTGATGGCTTCCCAAGCTAGAAGAAATCTGGGTCTCTGAGATACTATTTAGAGGAGAGCCACTCTATCAGGTACATCTTTAATGAACTTCGTGAGTGTGAGAAATAACTCTTACTGTGTTAAGTCACTGAGATTTTGGGGTTTATTATGTCAGCTAATGTAAATTGCACTACTTGTTGTTGTTGGTGTGTGCCGTCGATTCCAACTCATAGTGACCCCATGTGACAGAGTAGAATTGCCACATAGGGTTCTCTTGGCTGTAATCTTTATGGCGGCAGATTGCCAGGCCTTTCTCACGTGGAGCTGGTAGGTTTGAACAGCCAACCTTTTGGTTGGTTAACAGCTGAGTGCTTAACCATTGTGCCACCAGGGCTCCTTAATTGCACTAATAGAAATATTTTAAATTAAACTTTTTAAAATTACGAAATATTTCAAAAATATAAAAAGTACAGTAAGAATACATTAATAATCGTATCTCTGTCCCCAGATTTATTAATATTGTTGTGTTTCCTTCAGGTTTTTCCTCAAGAAATCTATTTTCTGTAACTAATAGCTAATAACCAATAAAGCATCATGGCATCCCTTACTCCTCCCTAGAAGGGACCACTATCCTGAAAGTAGTGTGTATCATCCTCATTCACATTTTTTTACTTTCATTACAATATATTAAATTACAGAGTATTATTTTGTGTGTTTTTAAAATGGACAGAAATGGTATCCAAAGATTGCTTTTTTCATTCAATATTGTTTTCAAGATTTATTTATGTTGCTACATATAGCTCTAATTCATTCAACTGTTATATAGAAATAGAGTAATTTGCTTATCCATGCTACTGAGAGAAAGTTTTTTTTTTGCTTTTACAAACAATGTTGCAATGAACTTCCTTGTATATGCCTAACATAATACCAGCAGAGAAGGCCTCTTTGAGGAGTTTCTAATTTAAGCTGATACTAAAAGATGAAAAACAAGCCACACGCCATGTGAAGAGTCAGGGAACAAGTGTTTTTAGGTATTTGGAACCGGGAACAAGCCTGAAGGTGTGGGGAATGGCATGTACCAGACCCAGTGAGGTTACAGGGTAGCGAGTGAAGGAAAGAGTGGCAGGAGGTGGGAGTGGAGAAGCAGGCAAGGGTCACTCTGTTAATGGCTTAGAGGCCACAGTAAGAAATTTGGGATTTATTCTAAATGCAAAGCCTTTAAAGTGTCCTCATTTTTTTTCTAGGTTGGTCAGATCATACCCACAGTATTGTGAGTTCCTTCTTTGAATTGCAATGCAGTAACTGTTGAATGTAGGTAGTATTCTTGCTCTCTATTTTGAAGGAATTGATTGCAATATCTTACAAGAGGAAACTAAAAATTACTTTTGCTTCCTCATCCTTTGTGTCTGAGGGGTAACTGTATATTTCAAAATGAAACCAAATGTATCTCGATTTCATTTCTCCATCCAGAGGGCTTAAAAGGAAATTTTTTTTCTCCATGTTTTGCAATCTATCTGTAAATCAGACTGACTTCATAAAAGATCTAAAGATTTTAGGTCAATTTAAGAGCTGAGGAAATATGCTTATAGTTCTGAAACTATCTGAGGTGTGATAGAATCAGGTGATGGCCAAATCAATGTTTGCGGGGCGGGAAAAAAAAAATTACTGTTTTAAAGCAGGTGCAAGATATTAAACATGGATGGGGGCGGTAGACATGGATTCACTGAAGGCTCTTGGAGAGCAGGGCGGCTACTTCCAGAGCAGGGACAAGAAAGCCAGAGGATTTAAGGGCTGTTTCTCTGGTAGGAGCCCTGAGTCGCACAATGGTTAAGTACTTGGCTGCTAACTTAAAGGTCTACGGTCTGGCAACGGGTTTGGGTTTTTGTTTTGTGGTAGAAATGACAGAATCTGGAGAACGGTGACGTGGTATGCATATAGCCAACTCTATTGAAGTTATTTTGCCCTACTCTTACCCCAAATCATATTTTCTCACACTTTTTCCCACGGTTAGAAAAATAAGGACGGGTGCAAAGCCCTGAGATTTCACAAGCGCGCTGCCAGAACAACTTTCGAACATCTAGGGAAGACCCCCTCGGCCGTGTAAGGTGTCCCACTAGGGGAGGGGTCGCTCTGTGCAAATTGCCGCCTTTAAAAGCCGACGGATCTGCGAGTGTCAAGGCCGGGAAACTACGGACGTCACGGTGACGAAGCCGACTCCACCCCCACACCAGCTTCCGGCGACGCGCGGCCCCCGCTTCCGTCCTTCCCGCCCAGGCGCCAGGCCCCGCCCCGCTCCCACGCGCCCCCAAGCACCCCAGCGCCGGAGAGCGGGGAGAACAGGCACAGGTTGATGTCGGAAGTCCCCCTGCAGGTTCTTCTTCCGCTCTGCCAAACGACTTCCGCTGGGGGCAGTCAACATGGACGCTGCGGCTGCCTGGCGAAGCGGCCTGTGATCGGTTGCGGAGGCGCAGCTTTTCGTCAGCGGCGGCCCCCCGCTTCCCTCCCCCACCCCGCTCCCGTCCCTGGGGCCTGCGGGCTAGTCGCTTCATGGGGGCGGGCCTCCGCGGCCCGCGCACAGCTTCCTGTTCAGAGGCGGTCCGGCGGTAGGCGGCGACGACTCTGCCCGCGCCCCCTTCGGCGCGGTGACCGAACGCTCGCGAGCCGTGTCTTGTGCCGCTGCACCAGTCCCGACCCTGCGCCGCCATGGCCCCGGTGCAGCTGGAGAACCACCAGCTGGTGCCGCCCGGAGGCGGGGGCAGCGGCGGCCCCGCGTCAGCCCCCGCGCCTCCTCCCCCGGGAGCCGCCGTGGCGGCGGCTGCTGCGGCCGCGGCCAGCCCTGGCTACCGGCTCAGCAGCCTCATCGAATTTTTGCTCCACCGGGCCTACTCGGAGCTCATGGTGTTGACCGACCTGTAAGTGCCGCGAAACCCATGCCTGCTCCCCAGCCCCCCTCCCTTCCCGCCCAACTTCCGAGAGAGGCTACAGTTTTCCCCGCCGGGCTGCTTAGTCTAGAATTTCTGAACTCAGGCGGTTCAGCGGAGGTGGAGTTTTGCATTTGGGGGTCTTTCTGGCGATCAAGCAACTGAGACTTGTTAATTATGCGTATTAGACTTTCACTGAAGATTGTCTTTGGGACTTTTGCTCGCGTTGCCAATATTTCTTCCCTGGAAGCCTTTTAGCCCCAAACCAAGATTATAGTTCGTGGTTTAGGAATACATGCTTTTCGAGCTTTAAAAAAAAAATCCCAAAGATGGGAAATCTGTTTTACAGCCTCTTGACAATACATTTTAAATATAGGTTGTAAATGTTTGTGACTAAGTTTGAATGCAGGAGATATATTGTGTATAAAATAATCCAAAATGTTGATTCCAAATACTTTTTCTGGAACGTTTGAGAGTGTTTGACGTTTTCATGCATATAGTGTGAGTAAAAGATTTTTTTTGTAACCGACCCGTTGCTATTATTTCTTAAAGTATGAAGGGAGTTTATAAATCACCGTTTTACCCATGAAATGCTTTGGGAATGATTAGGATATTACTGCGGAATAGGGTCGGAATGCACTGTAATATTTTTTAAAGACCCTTTCAGATTTGGGGGCATATATGTTACTTTTTGTTTTACATTAACTAACAGGTTCAGAAAAACTATGTCAGAGTTGTTACCTAAGTTAGTTTTTATCTTTTAGCTATTGCTAGACTTCTGATCAGTGTTTTCAATTGAAATGCATTAGTATGTACATACTAGGCTGTGAAAGCAAGTAGTTTGTTACTAGAGACTGTTAAAATGTTTATTTGCAGATGACTAAAGGATTAGAATAGTTTCCATTTATTCCTGTAGAGCATCACTCTTATCAATTTTGATATGTTTTATTGAATGGGACAGGAAGAGGTGGAGTTAAAGAAGCCTACCCTTGTCTAAGAAGTCCCTGGGTGGTGCATATGGTTAAGTGCTCGACTACTAGCCAAAAGATTGGCAGTTCGAACCCACCCAGAGGTGCCTCGGAAGCAAGCCTGGCAATCTGCTTCTGAAAGGTCACGGCCTTGAAAACGCTGTGGAGCAGTTCTACTCTGCACACAGCGGGTCTCCACAACAACAAACCCCTGTCTAAAGAGAAACTTAAGTAGCTACCATGATTAGTAACATAGTCACATAATATACTCTGCACCATTTATTGTTGAATTTCATGATAATTGTAAAAAATCCAAGAGTATCCATGAGAAACTATTACGTATGTGAAGCTCATCTGTGCTGTGTATAGCTGTGGAAAAAATGTTGAGAACTGCTATCAGTGATTGTGTAATTTGTTTTTTCATAGGGAATTTGTAGAAATTTCTTGTGTTGTGTTCCTAAGTATTACCTTTTTGCTATTTTAGAACTTGGTTTATGAAGAAACATGTTTTATTCCCTTAGAATAAACGTTTATAGTCCTACATCTTTTATATGACCATTCCCATGTTTATATCTCCAGCACAGACTTCCCCACTGAACTCCAGGCTCTATATCTAGATGCTTACATATCAATATTTAAGGGACATTTCAGTGTACCAAGTCCAGAGCCAAACTCCTGATTCCCCTCAACCCCTCCAAACCTTCTTTCCCATCTTCCTTTCTCACTAAATAATATCTCTAGTCTTGTTGCTTGGGCCAGAAATTTTGGAGTGATTCCTGGTTCCTCTTTTTTGACATCCCACATCTAGTCCATGAGCAAGTCCTGTTAGCTCTGATTTCAGAATATATTCAGAATCATATCACTTCCACCATTACCAATCTGATCTGAACCGCTTAATCTTTCACCCGTGTTACTGCAGTAGTCTCCCAGCTGGTATCTCTACTGCTACTCTTGCCCCTCTACAGTTTCTTCTCTGTAAAATAGCGTGATCCTTTTAAAACTTCTCTATTCAGAACCTGCCAGTGGTTTCCCATCTCGCTTAGATGAAAAAGTTTTTATAATCACCTAAAATAGGTGACCATATAATTTATCGTCCAAACCAGGACACTTTTGAGTGTGAAAGGCAGTGCTGATAATAATGTCGGAGCAGCAGGTATAAACTGGGACTATCTTGGACAAACCTGGACATGTGGTCACCTTATGTTTAAGGCCCTAGATGATCTGTGCCTTCTCTCCCTTACCTCTTCCGCTTCAATTTCTAACACTCTCCCCCTTGCTTAGTCTAATTCCAGCCACACTGCCCTTCTTGATGTTCTTGATGGTGCCAAGCATACTCCTGCCTTAGGGCCTTTGCTCCTCCCCCCAAGAAATCTGTGTGGTTTGCTTTCTCGTTAGCTTTAGGTCTTTGTTCAGATATCACTTATCAGAAAGACTCTCTGACCACCCTTAATAAAATAGTACTCTGATCCTTCACGTAATCCTTTTCACACACTGCTGCTTTAATTTTCTTTACAGCACTTATCACCACTTGCCATTATTAGTTTAGTGTCTTTTTTTCCCCCACTGGAATGTAAACTCCATGAGGACAGTGATTTTTATTTGTTGACTACTTTCCCCACGGCCTAGAACAATTCCTGGCATATAGTCAGGGCTTAACTATTTAGGAGTCCCTGGATAGCATGGGGCCCTGGTGGCGCAGTGTTTAAAAGCTCAGCTGCTAACCAAAAGGTCGGCAGTTCGAATTCACCAGCTGCTCCTTGGAAATCCTATGGGATAGTTCTGCTTTTTCTTATAGGGTTGCTATGAGTCTGAAATTGACTCTTGATGGCAGCAGGTCTGGTCTGGTCTGGGTAGCACAAATGATTAGGCACTGGGCTACTACCAGAGAGGCTGGTAATTCGAACCCACCCAGAGATGCCTCAGAAGAAAGACAATCTGCTTCTGAAAGATCACAGCCATGAAAACCCTATGGAGTGCAGTTCTACTCTGACACACATGGGGTCATCATGAATCAGAATCGACTCCATGGCAACTGTTTTTTTGTTTTTTAACTAAATATTGACTTAATGAATTAATTTTTAGGATTATCGTTGTAGACCATGGTGAATTTAGTGGGAAAATTCACTGTTTTTCTTGATACTTAGGTATGTAAAATAATTTTCCTTCTTTTTTGGTTTCTAGTAACAAAAATTAGTTTAGGAATTTACCTTAGAAGTTCCTAAGTAGTATATTTTTCCTTGTGTCAGGTAGAAATTGTCAGGATTAATGTACTGATGTATAACCAGTGTTCTAGGTACACTTTATAAGTCTTAAGGGACAAGGGTACTTATTTCTGCCACATTTTATGCTTGTCTGTGAACTATTGAATGTAAAAAGGACAACCTTGACAATTTAGGTACTTTGTTTTTGGACCTATTTCTGTTTTTTCCCTCTTTGTTCGTTCCCCCTTTCTTCTAACATACATACTTTCATCCTAGAGTTTAAACTCTACCTTAACTTTTGAGAGACTCCGATTCTACTCTTTAACTTTTTTTTTAAGTTTTCAGAGGACATTTGTTCAGAAATTGTTTTTAATTGTGGTAAAAATGTACATAACAAAACATACGCCAGTTAAACAATTTCTACATGTGTAATTCAGTGACATTGATTAACATTCTTCTAGTTGTGCAGCCATTCTCGTTATTTTTTCCTAAATTATTCTACCACCATTAACATAAACTCAATGCCCCCTAAGCAAAAACTCCCCCTTTCCCTCTCCTTCCCACCTCTGGTAACCACTAATAATTTTCTATATATTTGCTAAGGAGCCCTGGTAGCACAGTGGTTAAAGCACTTGGCTACTAACTGAAAGGTTGACAGTTTGAACCCACCAGCTGCTCCGTGGGAGATGTGGCAGTCTGCTCCGGTAAAGATTTACAGCCTTGGAAACCCTATGGGGCAGTTCTACTCTGTCTTGTAGGGTCGCTGTGAGTCGAAATTGACTCGACAGCAGTGGGTTTGGGTTTGGTTTTTAAAAAATATGTATTTGCTGATTTCATTTAAGTGAGATCATACAACATTTGCCCTTTTGCGACCGATTTATTTCACTCAGCATAATGTTTTCAAGGTTCGTGCAGGTTGTAGCATGCATCGGGACTTCATTTCTTTTTATGGCTGAGTAATATTCCATTGTATGTGTATACCACATTTTATTATTCATTGGTTGATGGACGTTTACGTTGTTTTCGCCTTTTGGCTATTGTGGAAAATGCTTTCACCACTTCTGGGTATATACCTAGGATTGGGATTGCTGGGTCGTATGGCAGTTCTATATTCAACTTTTTGAGGAACCACCAAACCGTTTTCCATGGTGGCTGTACCATTTTACATTCCCTTTTTTTAAACCTCTTTTAATTAGAATCAGAAAATGCCAGGATCTCAGTCATATAAACTTGTTTTATCACACTTTGGTGTAAATAAGTTTCAGTGCCTTCTTCCAAACATTTGGACTTTAGGGATTTTACTGCAAATGGTGGAATTTAAGATATGTTACCCATAAAAGAATTTCAAATAGATTAGGAGAAGGTGGGGGAAAGGGGAGGCAGGCAGGAAAGCCTTTGTCCCTAAAATGATACTACCTCTGACATGAGATGATCTTTTTGGGTTCCTAGGGCAAGTGGGGAGGAGCCCTGGTGGCACAGTCAGTGGTTCGAACCCACCAGCCACTCTGTGGGAGAAAGATGTGGCAGTCTGCTTCCGTAAAGGTTACAGCCTTGGAAACTCTGTGGGGGCAGTTCTACTCTGTCCTCTAGGGTCACTATGA